GAAAAGGTGGCTGATTGCAACACAGAAGGAAGTTGCAAAAGGTTGGCAGAAATCTAAAGCTATATCTATACCAACAAGTTGAGTTTTTGAGCGGAACCGCTGTCATACCAGCAACGAGGCCAACAGTCTTCGAAATTGCGTTCCCGAGATCAAATGAGAAGATCACTCCACCAGCTTCAAACCAGTGATAAAGAACTTCTGTTGTGCCGATTTCAAGACCGCGATTCTAAATCCACTCAGTATGTGACCACCGACAACTAGTCTCTAGATATCCAGGTTGGTAGCCGGCGCGCTCAACTCAGACCCAACAAAAATGACGGGAGTGGACTTAACAACGATGGCATTAGGACCAAACCAATAGGGTTCACGATGGCATAAGCGGCGCTGATAACTCCAAACTGAGTGCGGCTTCACAAACGTGGACAAGAACAAGAGCGGGGTAAGGGAAATTGGGGGTGATTCCGTGCCCTGCGGTGAGAAACGTTCGGTCATTCTTGGTTCTACCAACAAGACGAAGCTACCAAATCTTCCGTCTGAAATACTATCTATAAGCCGGGTATTGGAAAAATGAAGAATCAGAAGTTGAAAACTTGTTGCGAGGCCCAGGTCCTGTAATGCAAGTCCTTCGCTGCCAAGCATTTTTATCTGATCAGTTTTATCCCTGCACCGATGTCGGGACAGGGCACAGCTGTGGGTAGCGAGAGGTAATTTATGGGTCACGTAGAGAGTGCATCAAACAATCGATCGAGGGAAATCTGATATGACGTTCACTCCATCTGGCTGGCTCTGGGGGGTAGGAGTTCCACCAATCGGCAAGCGGAACCTACCGGTTAAGCGAGCAACCCCTTTTCAGTCGTTGTCATGCCCGAGATGCATTCCGGTTTGACGTGATCATATACCGGCTCGCCTCGCCTCCAGCAGAGTTCCGTCACGAATTGCATCCAGATCCAGGCCCAAGGATTATATCTACAAGTGAGACTAATCGATTAAAAAACATTGGCTCTTGGTTGAAAACTATATTCTTGACTTCAAATCAACAAATATCAGCCAGCTGACAAAACTTGGGTTGCTATGATTTCTTAATTAAACAACACTTTTCGAGTATGAATTCTCATTGAAACACCTCAAATCCATGCAACGTTGTTTCGTCAAAATTCAGGAGCAAGCTTGCAGAGTATATGGCTGTGTGAGTCACACTGTGTGACTGAATCAGAAGATCGATTTCAAACCTCGAGCCAGCCCCTGCTATTATGGATAAGTCGGCCGACAATTTTTGACCTGCTAACCCAGTTCGGTCATTGGACAGCTATGCTCCTTGCGGCTATATATGTCACTCTTATCTATTGAAAGGCTATTAGCAGTGTGAGCAAAAAATACTCAAGCTACTCAAACTACTCAAGAGTAGTCTTGAGTAGAGTAGAGTAGAGTTTGAGTAGCGTAATATGGTACTTGAGTAGAGTAGAGTAGAGTACTACTCAAGAGTAACTCAAGAGTAGTCACGTGCAAGTCACGTGCAAGTTACGTGAATGTAGAAAATCAATGTTCATTTAATTATTAATAAATAAATAAGGTACCCATTAAGCAGCACTATATAATTTAAGCTTGAGCTTATATAAGGCTACTTAAATACTACTTTTCTTCTATAAAAAACAGATTTTCCTCCTCGGAATCTTTCTTTTCCTTCTTTTTTTCTTCTCTTTTTACTTCTTCTAATTCGTCTTTAAATAACCCCCAGCTTTTTAAGCAAGATATTATCTCAAAAGTACTTTTATTAAGTCTATTACGTAATTTAGACATAATAAGAGCACCTTGAGAAAAGAATCTCTTACTAGTAGCCGAGGAAGCGGGGATTCCTAGATATTTCCTAGCTATTAAAGCTAAAACAGGAAATCTAGCGGTATTAGACTTCCAATAATCTAAGGGCTTAGTCTATATATATATTAGTACTAATTTATTAAAAAATATTAAGAGAATATCGGATAATTATTATAATAAAATTTAAGTAAAATTTACTTACTTTCCTATCTTCTCTCTTTTCTTCTAAATAAGTTACTAATTCGTCTTCTATATTAGAAGACTTATTAGTAATCTATATATCGTCTTCGTCTTTGTCTTCGTCGGAATCGGCCATATTAATATCCGAGAAATCGGATCTAGCTTGAGATAAATTATAATTATATTTATATCTTAATAAAATTAGTTATTAATTAATTTATTAAAAAGTAATTAAAGAAATTACTTACATATTATAATCGGTCTTTAATCTATTATATATATCCGAAGATATACCGCTAGATAAGCCAATACTAGTTAATCCTTCTTGTTTAATTCGAGGATCAAGAATAAGGGCTAAATATAAAGCTTTACTTTTATTATCTAAAATGCCTGTTTTAGGATAATATTTTCGAAGCTTAGCTATTCCCTTATTAATTGCATCTGTAAATACTTTGTCCTATTAAATATTAGTATAATATTAATAATAATATAAGAAGAGTTTAAGAAAAGACTTACTTTAAATTCCTTTTTGAAATTTTCTGGTTTATTATATATTTTATATACTTCAGATATAATATAATATATAGTAGGGTAATTTTCGGCTTGTAACTTGGTAGTAGCTTTAATAAATATTGAAACTATATTTAAAATATTATTTAAATAAGTAATTTCAATATTAGTTAAAACTAGACTTTTGTTTTTAAAAGCCTTCGAATTAGAGCTATTAATAACTACTTTAATAGCTTTATATATATGTAAAAAGTTCTTTAACATATAATAAGTCAAAGACTACCGTGTTTTTTAATCTATAAATAATTAGTATTAATTAATAATTAAATAATTAAATAATTAATTACTTACCAAGTTAAGGAAATCGAGCATTTTCTATATTAAAAGCTTTAATTTGAGCTTCTAATAGCCGTCGGTTTTCTTGGTTATATTTAAGACCTATAATAGTCTTTCTAATCTTTTTCCAAATTAATAAACCTAAAATTTATTAATAAACCTCTTATAAATTATATAGGAAACTTACTTATTACTTGTTCTCCTTCTTCTTCTTCTCTATCTTCAAGTTCTTTTATTTCTTGCTCATATAAATCTGTAGAATAAGAAGTATTATAATTATTCTTAATAAGAGCTTTTAAAATATCTTAAACTACTAGATTTAATACGTAAGCTATATAAGAGATATCTCCTTGAAATTTAATGCCTTTCTTATTATAATACTTTATAAAAGCCTTTAATAAGGTATCGTTTGAACTAGTATTATCTCGAGTAATACTAAATAATATATATTAGTAATTATTTAATAATTATTTTAAATTACTTACCTAGTAATATTATATTCGATATTATATTATTTTAAAGCTTCTAATAAAACAGAAAGCATATAAATACCAGAGTAAATATTGCTTAAATCTTTTATAGCTAATAAATAAGATTTTAATTTAAAATCCTTATTTATAAAGTATCTAATAATATATTAGTATAAATTTTATTTAATAATTATAAGGATATATAAACTTATATAGTAATTCCAAGAAATGCCTTTTGATTTATACTTGTTCAAGCATCTAAAGTAATAGAAAAGGTTCCTTGAGAATTAATATTCTCTTGTAATTCTTCTTTAATATTTAAACTCTTTTCTATATAGCTTAAATTAAGCTCGTCCTTAAGTGTTTTCATATATAAAGGCAGTATTTGACTATAAAATATTAGCTTATATAATAATAATAATAATAATATAAGTACTTACTAATTTAAATATTTTAAAAGTACTTTAAAGCTCGAAGTAGTAACTACTCGAAAAGAGATATTATTACTAATAATAAAGCTTAATAATAATCTCTTAAAGTAATTAATAGTAAAGCTATCTTCTCTTTGGCCCGATTGTCTATTAAAAAGACTATTTATAATTAGTTGAGAGATTTGAGAAGAAGAAGCTTTACTTTTACCTAATAAATAATTAGTAAATAATTCTTTAAATAATATTAATTAACTTACTATTATTTCCACTATCGGAAAGAGTATTAAGATCAATAAATTTATGTAAGTTCCGAAAATGAGCTAAATAATTACTTATTTAACCGTATATTCATTAATTTAGCCACGTTTTTCTAAAAAGTTAATTAATATTAAAACCATTAAAATTAAGATTATTAACTTACAAACAGCCTTGTACTAAGCACCTAATAGTACACGTACGAGCGTCTTCCGGGTTCTCTTGAATTGGATTTAAAGTCTTTTTTAAATATCCTTTTTTAAAGAGAAGAGGTTCTTTATTAAGGGATTTTAATATAAAATCAGGGTGATTTTGGCTTATATTAAGCTTAATCGAGGATTATTAAGACATTTTCGAGTATATAAAGTATATATAAAGGTATTTATAATATAAAGTATTATTATAAGAGTAATAGTTAAAGATATATAAGTAATTATAAAAATAAAAGAAGCGAGAACTCGAGGAAAACAACTTATTCTTATAGAAAATTCTAATATTCTAAAGGCTTCTTAATTATTCTTCTAATTAGAAAGAATTACTATATTTCGGAGGTTCTAGTTCTTTAATTTCTAATATATAGCTCTTATATTAGTAATATAATATAATATATAAGCCATAGTAGTTCTGGAGGTATCGTAAAGGTTCTACCTCGCTTACCAAGCCTCGCCACCACTTAATTGGGCAGTGCAGTGGCGCTAGGCTCGGGCCACCCCGGAGCCTTACCCAATTAGGTTAGCATGTCACGTGTAACGTCACGTGCACACTACTCAACTACTCAAGAATATTCTAGAGTAGTTGAGTAGAGTAGTTGAGTAGAGTATGAGTAGTGAGAAAAAAACTTGAGTAGAGTATGAGTAGGGCCCACTACTCTACTCTACTCTACTCATTTCTCACACTGGCTATTAGCCTACGTGAGTCATGTTTAGTCCAACATAAATCAAAGCTTTCCACCTTACTCACTGTCTGTCTTTTCCTGTTATCTGGATATTGGTAGTTAGCAATCATGCCAAAATTCAACATCCTCATCATAGGCGGTGGCCTCGGCGGTCTAGCAACCACCGTCGCACTCGCCCAACAAGGCCATAAAGTCACTGTCCTCGAGTCGACAGCTAAACTACAAACCATCGGAGGTAGCATCACCATCCCTCCAAACTCAATGCGCGTTTGGGATTATCTCGGCCTTTTGCCAAGGTTGCATGCCGCTGCTGAGACATCAATGCCTTCACCGAGAGTCTTTAGAAGCTACAAAGGAGAGGAAATAAGTGAAGGGGGGATAACCAAGTCGGTGTACAAATACGAGTAAGTTAATTTCGCTTTTATATAAGTTTTGCAGGAATGAGTTCTGAGTGTGAAAGCTTGACCTCGCTTCATCGAGCTCCGCTTCAAAAGCTGTTACTAGACGCAGCGACAGAGGCTGGAGCGGATATCCAAATCAATACCCGAATCATAGAAATTGATGAGAGTGGCCTCTCACCAGTAGCAGTCACCAAAGATGGACGCCGCATAGAAGCCGACCTCATCATCAGCGCCGACGGTGAGCTTCCCTCTCCATTCTTCTCAGCTAGAAACCAACCCAATTCCAGGCGCCAAATCTATGCTTCGAAGCCTTCTACACCCCAAGACTCAACTGAGCACTTGTATCAACTGCTACCGGGCTGTAATCCCGGGCTCAATGTTGCGCGCAGATCCGGAGCTTTCTCAACTTCTAGAAACAGCTACCATTTGGTGGGGACCCCACCGCAATATCGTTGGAGTCCCCATTCAAAATGGGCAGCTATTCTCCCTTGAATGTACGCATCCCGGGGATACAGGCACAGCAGGGGACTGGAACAAGAAAGGCGATGTGGAGCTTATGAAAGCGACGTATTCGGATTTTGAACCTTTGGTTCTGAAGCTTTTGGGGATGGTGAAGGCGGAAGATCTGTTGGTGTGGAAGTTGAATCAGTTGCCGGAATTGGACTCTTGGGTGTTTGGGGGTGGGAGGGTGTGTTTGATTGGTGATGGTATGCTGCTTCGACTCATTCGGGGACGCTCACTGATTACAGAAAGCTGCGCATGCTATGATGCCATTTTCTGGCCAGGTATTCCGAATTTCATCTACCCCGAGCGGCAAAAGTTACTAACTACTGCCAAGGGCCACGCAATGGCAATCGAAGACAGCGCCGCTCTTTCCCTCTGCCTCGCCCGCTGCACTAGCACCTCATCCATCCCCCGTGCTCTCCACGCCTTCGAAGCAATCCGCAAACCACGCACCACAGTCCTAGGCAAGTATTCAGAACACAACGCTCGCATCTGGCAACTTCCCGACGGACCAGAACAGCGCGAACGAGATGAACGATCCAGAAAGAGCCCCTTTTTTATCGCCCCGGATTGGGATGGGAGGCACGTTGATGAGGTGCCCGGAATTCCGCCTGATCCGTTGTTCTTCCCGTATATGTTGGCGCATGACGTGGTTGCTTTTGTAAGTTTTCCGCGGTGAGTTTTGGACTGAGCTGATGAGAGTAGACTGAGAAGACACTTGATGAGATGTGGACTCTTTGAATGACGAAGATAGAGCTTGGAGTTTGCTAAGTATAGATATTCTGGCACGACCGGAGATAGATAGACAGAAATATGTTGATGAACATGGCAAAAAGTTTAGAATTTATAGAGTAGAGAAAATTGTGCTCAGAAATGGTTTCATACAGGGTGAGAAGGTGAGGCATGAATTTGAGTGTGGAAGAAGATACAAAGTGTGAATGTTCTACAAATGTTTTCTATTTGATGCGGGTTCTTAGCTTAAGTGGGATGTGGCTGGTGGTAGCAGTCCGCCAAATCCAATGAAATTTGCATCTACCTATTTGCCGTTCATCGACTTCGAGGCTCTACTTTGACTTGTCACCTCCAAACTTGTCAGAATTTCATCCCCCCACCCTCAGATTCTCCTCTCTCCTCATCCTCAATTGCTAGCTTATCGATCCCAAAATACCAAAGCAGCTCCTTTGGGAATCCCTGTATTAACCGAAATATCCCGTGCTGACCTACACTACTCAACCTGAAGTTGAAATTATTCATGAAAGCTTGAAATTCATTTTCCGCAAAGCGGAAATAAAGTTCTTCGCCTCCGCTGCGGGTCGGAATGGGTTATGTTTTCCAGGCATCGCTAACGGTATTTAAAGTAGTAGATATTTACTAAAGCTTAATAAGAAGTAAGGGAACACTATAACGGTCGGATGCGAGTCTTTTGGCTAATCAATGATGGGTTAAGCTGTCAACTTCGTGCCATCCTGACTTCAAGTTTCATCCCATAAACAGACTGTCTGTCATCTCGCCAGCAAGGTCCATTCCGGGACATATGCAGTGGGATTGACGTACTTGAAAACAATTGATCTGGCAGATGTTATAGAGATGCTGAAGTAACCAAAAATCAGCGGCGTTCCTCCATATCAGAGTTAGTGGATCCCATGCATACATTTCTGAGAAGCTGGCAATGGCAGAATCGCCATCATCTGATGGGTTGACGTGTTGCTGGTGTCAGCCACTGATCATTTCTGTTGCGGTATGACTTACACTCAGGTCATTATCCAGAAATTCCGCGGCTGTCGGGTTTAGTAGGGTCCGTGGGGTCGGGAGGACACTGGTTCCTCCTGACTTGCGGCATCATGATCCCCACTCGAGGGCTCTGTAATAGGTAATTCTATTCCTCTCCTCACTTGCAAAAGAAGCACCATCTCAATGGTTTAGAACAGATACCTCCGAATTTTAAGCTTAGTATCGCGACACGACGTGGTTGGGGGAGCCGCTTATCTCCACAGCGGCTCGGCCCAGCCACTAACCGAAGTCCCGCACCAAAACAAGCTAAAAACACGTTTAATACTACGGCCAAAATACGTAATAAATTCATTAAATCAAGTCGTATTAACAAGACAGTAGCCGTAATTCAAAGAGGGGAATTTACTTATTATGCCAATATAGCTAGGAAGTTCAAGTATAACTATAGTACTATCTCTAGATAAATCCGTAGCCTTATAAAGTCAAAGAATAAAGCGAATTTATTTTAGTACTAATATTTAACTATTAAGTAAAAAAAGTATTTAATTTATTAAATTAATACTCTTATTAATTAAGAAATACTACTAACTAGTTATATTATTAAAAACCTTATAGAGAAAATTAAAAGAGGGCTATTAGGAAAGAACTAGATTAGCTAATTTATAAAATATTATTTTATTAGACTAAAGAGTCTTTATTTATAAAATATTAATAATTTATATACTAGTACTAAATATACTCTAATATTTCAATTATTTTTTAGTATAATTTATTATATTATTATTATATATATATATTATTTGGGTATTTACTAATATATATTTGCTTTATTAGCTTATAATAATAATTAAGAAATATTAAATTATAGCCGAAAATATATATAACTTTAATAAAAAGAAATTCTTAATAGAATATAAGTAATTTTTAAAAAGAATTATAACTAGAACTATTCTGAAATTAGATTAAATCTTTAAGTTAAAATAAAATAGAAGCTATAAATTTATTAGTATTTTAGCTTATATATTTATAATTAGAAAATAGATATTACTGCTTTTAATATATTAAGGCGAATTAAGAGATCTTATAAATATATAAGTTAATAAAGTTATAACTAATTTAAAGGCCTATTTTACGGTTTTATATAATAAATAATTAAATAATATAATTAGGCTATTTTAGCTTCAAAATATATTTAAATAATATATTAAATTATTATATATAACTTAAAAATGTCTTTTTATTATTAATAAGTATTTAAGTTATATTAATATAATATTTATTAATTAGGCCAATTAATATAATATAATTTTATTAATTTTATTTCTATATATAATTTATTAGTTTTAGTTCCTTAATATCGGACTTTTTTTAATTATTATTAATTATATATTCTTGAGAACTTAATATAATAATTAATAAATTAGGCAGACTTATTAAAATAAATAAAAGCTTCTTTTAGTTAAAGTTTAAAAGATCTTAGAATAAAGTATTTATAGAAAAGAATATCTAATTAGTATTTTATAAATTAGTATTAGTATAGCTATTTCTTTAGAAGTTATATATATAGTTATAAGATATAAGATATAAGATATAAGATATAAGATATAAGATATAAGTAATAGAATATAGAATATAGAATATAGTTATATAACCTTATATTCTATAAGTAACTCGACTAGTAAACTAGACTTCTTTAAGCTTAGTAGATTTAGGAATTATATATTAATACTATAATACTATAATTTCTATTTCTGAATAACAATTTTACTAATTTTATATAAATAGTATTTTATAACTATATAATAGTACTATATATTACTAGTAAACTAATACTAATTAGTTAGTACTTATAGATTAGAAATAGAATAGTTAAGCTAAAAGAGATATCCGGTAGCCTTTATTAATATTAATTTAGCTATATTAAAAAAGGGAATTACTTATTAATTCTATAAAAAAGTATCTAATAACCTAAAAGAGAAAACTCTAGTTCTTACTAATTAATAAGTAATTAGCTATTTAACTATCTATTTATTTAACTTCTACTAGCCCTAAGATTACTTTTTTGGAAACTATTTTTTCTACTTATATAATACTTGTATTTATAGAACCCTTTTTCCGAAATATATATCCTATATATATTCTTAAAGCTCTTTAATTACTACTTCGATTTTATTATTAAATTGAGTTCTTTAAACTTTAGATTCTCCCGGAATTATAATATTTTACTTTCTAAATTTCTTATTATAGACGAAATATTTAAGAATGAAATATTTATTTTAATACCTATAATATCTCTAGATATCTGAGATATCTAATATCTAAACCAGGTATCTGGTATCTTAACTAGATATCTAAATCAGATATCTAATATCTTAATTAGATATTTGAACTAGATATCTAATATCTAAACTAGATATCTAGATATCTTTATTACTAAATCCTATTACAAACTACTTTATTCTCGAACCCCTCTTATTATAAACTATATTTATATACCGGAAAGAGCTTAGCCCTAAGGATTCGGGATAGTAAACCTTTAGAATAAATATAAATAAATAAAGAAATAGAAGAATAGTATTAATCTAGCTAGCTCCAACTATAAGAAAATTCTAGATTATCTTAATACTAAATTATTCTAGTATAAGATAGAGAAGTTAACTAATAAGGACCTCTGGAAATTATTTAAGGAAAATTTTAGTAATTTTAATCTCGAAATATTTAATTAACTAGATTAATATATATTATATTAATTATAAGCTACTTTATAATATAGTAGTATTTATATTAAATATAACTATAATTACTTTACTATTATATAATTCTTAGTTAATACTATTTAGAGAGAAAAATAATATATCTAAACTATTAATAATATTATTACTATTAGATAAGACTTTAAAGCAGGCCCTATTATCTTATTATATATATCCCTAAATAATAGTATTATAAGAAATTAATATACTAAACCGATTATTACTTATACCTCTTTACTATTTACTATTTCTTTATTATTTATAACTACTTCTACTAATACCGGACTATAAAGAGCTAAAACTAATAATTTTTTATTACTTCTACTATTTCTAAATAGTTCTTTAGCTAGCCCTTTTACTATAAAGCTAATTAGAGAAGTAATAAGATATATATTAAAATACAGAAATATAATAGAACTAATAATAGTTTTAATTAAAAACTTATTATCTTTCTCGATATTTACTAATATATAAAGCTTTTATAAGAGGTATTAGTAAAAGCTTTTCCTATTATATTAAAGAAACTAGTATAAGATTACTTTTATAATAACTAGCTCTCTTAATATATATATAAAAAGGCTTATATAAATATTTATAATTTCTTTAAAGGCTCTAGTTTCTAATATTAAAACTTAGATAAATAAAATACTATTATAATAGTAATTATAATAGCTTAATACCCTAAAAGACAATATTTGAATTCGTCTAGTTACTAATTAATAACCTATATAAATTATAATATAGATTAATACCTGTCCTATAAAATACCGAATTCCTATATAATAAGATTATTACCTCTTATTAAGGTATACTAGTATACTAATATATAGTCTCGAACTCTTTTTCTAATCTTAGCTAACTTATTAATAAGCTTTAATTATCTATTACTACTTATAAGAAGAAATAATAGATTAATACTAAGATTCTTTTTACTAATTAATAATACTATTCTTAAAATTCTCTAAGCTACTATTTATTCGGAAACTATTAATATAAATCTAGTTATAATTTCGGAACCTGTAATAACTACTTCAAATCCCGTAATTATAATAATTATACTCTAAAGTCGTGTTTTATATATAAAAGACCCGAATACTACTTATAAAAGCATATATTAGAGAAATAAGAAACTAAAAAGATATAATTTAAAAATAGAAACATTTACTAATTTAGATTCCGAAACTTCTATAACTTT